AAAAAACGTTGGCACAAGTGCATAATATTTGAGGGGGATTACTTTGAAGGAGATAAAATAGATATTCATGAATAAATAAATAATTTTTGAAAACATATACGATTTGCGATACTTTTTGAACAGACCTCATATACACAGATTTTCCCGCCTATTTTCTCAGGACAGCCCTCTTCGAGCCCTTTCGAGCTGTTTACGTAAGAATCTTGTTTACAAGATAGGTAATAAACATTAATAATGAAATTTTAAACATATAAACTTTACATAAGTAAATATCGATCATTTTACTATAATATAATTATTGCAAAAAGTATTGTCAAAAGTTATTAACTAATAAAGTTAATTAATGTGATAGCACAATATTTACAATAAAACAATAACAAAATTTTATTCAGATTATATTATAGAAAAAAGATATCCTTTTTTCTATTCAAAATGTTTTTATGTAAGCCGATGTACAACATTTAGGATATTCTGCGTTTCTTATAATTCTTTTCATAATCCAATATCTTAGCTTTGTCCCAGCCAAATTCGTGTGAGAGAGTTCTTCTATGTGTAGCTACTAATGTATCTGAGTCAATGTTTTTTTGTGTTTTAATTTAATCTAATTTTTATGGATCGCTTACTTTCACCTATGTAGGGAACAACAAATTTTCAAAAATGGATGCAGACATTATGTTTACAAACGCAGACAAAGGTAATATCACAGTAGTCATGTCGCAAAAAGAATATTTAGAAAAAATGAATACTTTATTAGACGATCAAAGTTATATATATATATATATATATATATATATATCACTTATATCAAAGTTAAATCAAATCCTCTGAAAAAATTACAAGGAGACGTAAAAATGATTTTGAAGGATTGGAATGATAATGGTTTTCTGAATAAATATTGGCATAATAATGATTTGACTCAAATCTACACATCTATAGCAAAATGCTATGGATTACCAAAAATACATAAAGAAAATGTGCCACTACGACCAATAATTTCATAAGTTAATAGCCCTACTCACAAATTATCAAAATTCTTATATAGTGCTCTTAAAACAGCTATAAATAAACCTAACTGTCACATTTTAAACAGTGGACAGTTAAAACAGAAATTGAAAAATATTTTTATTCCAAACGATCACGTTTTAATAACATTAGATGTAAGTTCCTTATTCACGAACATATATTGTGATTTAGACTTAGAGGGGTTAAACAAACGTTATGAACAAATTAAAAATTGTGATATTCCAATGGAAGAGATTTGGAGAGGTATAACATTTTTATTTAATAACACATACTTTGTGTTCAAAAAAATTTATTATAAACAAATATTCGGAATACGTAACATACTGTCTTGATTCCCTTATAGTTTTCCAAAATGATAAAATTTGTAATAATGGAACGAAGAAAAATAGTGAGAGCTGAAAATCCACTTAATTTTAATTTTCAATATTCTTCTGTGTTAGAAAAACATAACATTACTCCAATCCCTTTATTACAAAAACCATTACAAGAGTTCATTCGTTTAGTAAAAGACGAATCTGATTTATTAAACAACACTGGTATTGTCTACAGTTTTAACGGCAAACAATGTCTATATAGGTGAAAGTAAGCGATCCATAAAAATTAGATTAAATTAAAACAAAAAAAAACATTGACTCAGATATATTAGTAGCTACACATAGAAGAACTCTCTCATACGAATTTGGCTAGGATAAAGCTAAGATATTGGATTATGAAAAAAATTATAAGAAACGCAGAATATCCGAAATGTTGCACTTTAAATAAAACACTTTAAATAAAAAAAAAAGGGTATACAATATCTTAGTTATATCTATAAGCTTTTATTAAGATCGATGAGGAAGGGATGATAGATGAAGAATGTATATGTGTATTGAAATACTTGATTTCTTACTGTATTGTAACGTGACTGGCTACGAGCTGTGCGTTTTAGCCTATAATAATTTGAGTATGAGAGAAATCAGGTACACACATGTATATATAATTATATGCCATAATAACTACATTTGTAACTTTATTGTTAATAATTTGTTGTTTTTCTGTTAAGAAAGCCTGAAGAAGTCAGCAAATGTGCTGACGAAACGTTACTGAATATAATTAAAATTAAGTGAATTTCCAGCTCTCACTATTTCCCTTCTTCCCATTATTACAAATTTTATCATTTACTATAATAATAGTTTGTTAATAGTTTGTTAATACATATGTTCAGAAAATTAAGAAGCAGATATTTCAATCAAGGCGTTAGCAGTCAAACTTTTAAAATATTAAAAATCTTGATTAGCATGCGTTCATGAAATAATTGAAATATTTTCGTTGCACTTATAAATCTGATTCTTAAAGTTATATGTAAATGCAAACCTATGTTTCTGAAACTGTATGGAGAGGCTATGGGATACTCTGCTCTTTCCCACTTAAGCAATGCGCCTGTATAGCTCCGTACTTACTTAAGCGTACTCTCACTCGTTCGATCATCTCTGACAGACACGCACGTCTTCTTATGTCACTACATCATAATTGTTCTTGACCCATAAATAATTTATTCCATACATATCTTATGATAATCATTTATTTATAAGAATTACATTATTTATGTGTTTAATAAACTGAAAATCTAATTCATATGTAAGTAGAAGGAGGCAGTTTCGGCGGCTTAAAGAACCCTAGTAATAGCGATAGGTCTTAAAAGAGTTGCGATCCTCGAAGAGCTTCATTCTCTATCTAGAAACAAGTAATAGTAGATGTAACATTCTCTTCCTTACCTCTATCTCTTAGCCTATAGTAAGATGAATTTTGAAATTTGAACCATGCATAAACCATTATAATTCTCAGATTATTCTTGAACTCGATTAAGACTTTCGAATTATTCTACCAGACCAAATTTGAAGAGCACGCATCAGTTATTATGATTTTTTATTGATATTTCAGACAGAATTCAACGGTATATAGTTTATACAGTATCATGGATTTCAATTCATTATTTAAAAGTAAAAAGGGTCTATTAATATTTCAATAAAATTTACGTTACATAAATTTATTTTGAGGTAAGGTAAATGAATCATAAGTATTAATGTTAGAGTAAGTTTCAACATATCTTAATTAACTCATATTGTTTTTAATAAATTATAAAATACTGCCGTTCAAACGATAAAAAAATAGAACCGCTATCGAGATGAAACTAACTCGGAAAAGTAGTCGCTTAGTTAGGAAAAAAAGTCTTAGACTCTCAGCATGTGATTCTTCATTACTGAGAACTTATAAGTTTCTGATTCGATAAAATCTCTTTACAAGGTGTTCCGACATGTAGAAATTGAGAGCGTCTAAAAGTCTCCATCATCATAGCACAGATAGCGGTCTCATTTTTTCCCAGAACATACTTATATGTTCGAAGGGTCCGTTCAAGAGCATACCTTGCTTATCTAATTTTTTTATAGGCCAATTTTTAGCTCAACACCTAGGTATTTAATCAAACGATTCATTTTGATTATGCGGTCGTCTATTGTTTAGGTATTATTGAGTTAAACACCAGATTTTTCTATTCGCCTAAAATAAATATAAAGATATTATTGTGTAAAGTCCGAATATCAGCCATTCTTAGCTAAATATTTTTAAGACTTATAGATATGCAAGTTTTTAATATTATTTGGATACATTTTGTCATTAATATAGAATGTGTAGTTTGTTGAGGAATACGCACTTCATTCGCTGCCCGGAATCATGCTCATGAAATGGTGATGACGGATTCTGATTTCTTTCTAGAAATGCAATCGATATTTTATTTATTCAAGTTTTGTAAATTATGCTTTTATATCATTATAACGACGTTTATTATCTTTTAAAAATCAACGCTTATCTTTGTTCCATGCACCCTCACCAATGTTTATCCGTAGTTTTTAGTTTTTCTGACATATTGGAGTCATATTAGATAATTTTAACTAATGTTACATTATAGAGATCTGCAAAATAAAAGACTTTTTTTACTCCAAAAATACCAATACTATATTCCCAAGAATTTTGATGCATTGAAAACAAATCAGACGTCTATCATTTCTCACTTTCAAGATATCCCAACCTAAAAATGCAAAAAAATGTTTTTGGCTATATTTCATTTTTTACTACATTACGTGAAATTTTTGTTTATAAATGACTCGTACCATCTAAATGTACAGCTCTTATCTTTTCAAACCCATTTTGATGATTTGGAATATCTTTTTTTTCATTGAAATATTGTCAATTGAAGATAAGTTATTTTAGTGTTATCTTAAAATCGCACAGGTAACTATTGTTTTATATAAGCCGATAAACCATACCCTACAAGTAACATTGTAAGGATTTATAAGGCTTTTGTGAATGGCTGATCGCGAATCCGAGGTCCTTTTACCTCTATTACGTCAAGTGAAATGTCATTTAAAGGTCAAATGGCTGTTAATCAAGAAAAAAATCTGATAAAACTTAGATATATATTTTTTAGATCGATGAATTTCAATACATTATTTGCTTGATCCTACAAGGTCATGTAGAGGTTGATTAAAGGACATTCAAGGGCCAGATAAACAGAACAAAAGATTTAGATAAAACAACGTCCTTTGCGATGAGAAGTTACCACTAAAATACTTAACTTCAGATGACGATATTTCGATGAAGAAAAAGACATTTCAAATCTGATAAATGAATTTTGAAGGGGAAGTGTTGTACTTTTAGATGGTATGAGCTGTTTGAAGAAAAATAACTTTGTCATGATGTAATACTAGCTCAAAAATAACCAAAAAACGTGTTTTTTTTGCTTTTTTAGTTTAGGATATCTCAAAAGTATGACGTGATAAAGCAGCTTCGAGGACGGGTTAGTGTTCAACACATTGAAGTTCTGTGGAATGTATTACTGCTATTCTTGAAAAAATTTTATGTTGACCAGTGTTATTAGTCTGTATTTTTTTTTAAATTTTAGTTTAAAGTTATGTTAAAGCTGTAAAATTTTACTTTTTCAGGTTCACAATAAGTATACCGCTGAAGATTTTGATGAAGATTTGCGACAAGTTCTTCGTAGGGCTGGATGTAAAGATGAAAAAATTGCTTTTATCCTTGATGAATCAAATGTCCTTGACTCTAGTTTTCTAGAAAGAATGAATACACTTTTAGCTAATGGTGAAGTTCCTGGATTGTTTGAAGCTGATGATTATAGTACTCTCATGACACAGTGTAAAGAAGGTGCACAACGAGAAGGGTTAATGCTTGATTCCAACGAAGAATTATACAAGTGGTTTACAGGACAAGTGATGAAAAATTTACACGTAGTCTTTACTATGAATCCAAGTACAGACGAATTGAAAAACAGAGCAGCTACATCACCGGCATTATTTAACCGTTGTGTTCTAAATTGGTTTGGAGATTGGTCTGACAATGCTCTATTCCAAGTTGGAAAAGAATTTACAAACACTATTGATTTAGATAAACCAACTTGGAAATGTCCTGATTATTTTCCTTCCTCTTGTTCAATGATAAACAATCAATCTACACATAGAGATGCAGTCATTAACGCTTGTGTTTATGTTCATCAAACTCTTCATAAAGCAAATTCTAGAATGACAAAAAGAGGTTCACGTACTATGGCTATCACACCACGGCACTACTTAGATTTTATCAATCATTTTGTAAAACTATATCAAGAAAAAAGAAGTGATTTAGAAGAACAACAACTACATCTAAATGTAGGACTCAGTAAAATCGCAGAAACAGTAGAACAAGTAGAAGAAATGCAGAAAAGTTTAGCTGTAAAATCACAGGTAGAAATATTCTATGCATTTTGTTCTTTACTTAATAACTCATTTCTCTTTATATATTGCGGATCTTCTAAAAATTTAATGTATACAAATAGTATTTTACGTATAATAGTCGTAAAGGGGATCTTTTATAACTGAGAATACGTGTGCAGTACGATTTTAGATTTATTACACGAGTGCCATAGAGTACTATACATGATTTTCTAAGTTCTAAAAATTATCTTTATACCTATGTTACACACTATACTTATCCCTGGTATGTCATTTATTGCGATATTTATTTTCTAGAACATTTTACATGTAGTCTACTACAAGTAAGTATCTACAGAGTTTTGTTGACCATGTGTAAAGTTAAATGTTTGGCTTTTTATGAGAATGAAGGTATATTAAGATGTCAAGAGGGCCATGTAGGGTTGAATACGGTATATTGAAAGTCTTATTTATTGTTATATAAAAATATAAACATCTTACTTTAGTTCAAGTTATACTCAATCTGTGAAAAGAATACGAAAAAAAACAACTTTTAATGTTTCGTTAATAAACTCGTTAACGTATTCAGAAACTTTATTGTAAAAATCGGAATGAAAAACAGTAAAAATAAAATAATATGAGAAACACTTAGAAATTATCAACACAAGTCTACAAAACAACGTAAAAAATAATAGCCAGAAAGTGCTATGGTTATAGCAAATCCATGAAGTCGCCTGATCTAATTTATGATTCGGTTGTCTATTCCCTGCACCTAATGTTTAATCCGTACTATATTTGTAATGGGATTGTATGTGTTACTCAATTTTTCAGTATCCCCTTTATCATTAATATTATAACCAAAACTTTTAATATGTAGCATTTCTGAAGTCAAGCACTTCTTCTAATTAGACTAAAAATCCAGAACATTAACACCGATTCAATCAAACTTGAGATTAAATTTTCATGTTTATATTGTAACGGATGGTTCGGCCGCTCAAAAATTGGCTGTTGACCACCGCTGGTTGCTCTCTTATTGCAAAGCTCTGCTCAAAGTTGCGTGTCTGTACTTATGAGACTACGTATTTCAATATGCTAATTCTGTTTGTTTTTCGTCAACCTCGAAACATAGGAGCAAGCCACACAAACTAAATCAACACTTGCTACCAGCCTCTTGACAACAAGAACGATCAAAGTTACTGCTGACCTCCTCGGTAGTCTTTTAACCTGCTACGCGAATCTAAGTTGCAATTAGTACTGCTTCTCTGCTATCGGATTATGCTCGTCCAATTAATTCTCTGCAGTGCGCTACGTTATTGTCTGTCATCACCTACTTGATTTCCTTGATTTTAGACTTTGAGCGAATTTTAGATCGTCAATTATCGATATTTAGGCCGATGCAGATTGTTGAGCGATCTAACCACTCCTCGCACGCGCGCCCAAATAAGTGACGTCGTAAGTTCGTATTAAGCGATTGTATCCGTTGTTCATCATTTATGTATGTTGGATCTGTATATTGCCGCGCTCTTGGCTGTGAGTTTGCTCCACGGCTTTGCCTTTACTTTATCGATTAATCTAAGATTGAGCCGGTCGCATTTGCCGCAAATTCATCAATTGTCACATCGCGCGGTTGCTGCCGTCTTGTTACCTGTCGTACCGAATATTGCGATTAGTAAATTGCCTTTTTTATGTTATTGTTATCTTTGCGTTTATTTGCTGGCCGTACCCGAGCGATGAATATTTCGTGTGTGATTTCTTAGAATTATCTTTTGTGAATTTTTCCGTTGTAATTACATCACACTTCCAAATTTATTACTGCATGTGTATTCGTTTTGCCACTATAATTTTGTTAATAAGATTTTTATAATAAATTTTGTTCTATTATTTTTCTTAATTTTAACACGCTATCATTTATATAATCTGCCTGCGCGTTTGCTTTGTTTCTCTCTTCTTCTTTTACTATTCTACAAACAAATCCGTTGCATACCCGGGGAAAACAAGTAAGTGCCGAGTGTCGATCAAGCTCGGAGAGGCATTGCTCTGCGACACTGAAAAATTTAATAACTAATTCTTGTCAATGCCTGGTGTCCTGTCTGAATTCTATTTGATGCTATATGCATTGTCTAACCTCCCGAATACAACGTTATAATGTATATGACCGCGTCTTTGCTATATAATTACTCCATATTACTTATATAGTCCTTATTATATAAGTATATAGTAAGTATACAGTAAGTATATTGTATATAGTATACGAGTATATAAAATATATTATATATACAATATATTATATATTGTATATATACTATATACAATATATAATATATTGTATATAGTATAGTAAGTATATCGTATACTTACTCCATATTATTATTGCACTCAACGTTTTTGTGTAGTAGGGTTATCGCGTCAATATTGTAAGTTTTCAGATGTTTGAAAATAATGTCATCATTAAATAATAGTAGCCGTTTTAAACTTGAATTTTGTAATCTTGTAAAGATTTAAATCGAAAGTACTACGAAATATCAAACGAGCTTCATGGTTTATACCAAACGACATTATCTGAAATAATCTTCAGATGATACTATTAATAATATAAGAAATTAAAACGTTTTATGAGAAACATAACATGAGATTACAAAATTATCCAAATAAACTTATCAGCAAATTCCTTAAGACCAAGATCACTATCACCAAACTTAATAAACATAAATTTAGAAGAATATAAATAAACCAAAATTTATATAATATACAAATAATCTGATAATAAATATAAATTACTCACTAGAGTGTCTCGATAAATATAATGTCAACTTATCATCTTAGCAATTACATTTAGTCATTATCAAAATTTAATAGACAGATTGCAAGAGGGCATTGTCAAAATTTAATAAAGAGATTGCTATGCGGCAAGGGCTAATCTCTGCTAAATTTTTACGAAATTTCAATTTTGGACAAGAAAGCCGGTGCTAACTTCCATGAGAAAAATAACTCAAACTGGCTGAGAGGAGTGAGGTTACTTCGAAGGAAATAAGTCGTAAACTCAAGCTACAAAAGGCGATCCCATTTTATTACACCCAAACAATAGATTTATAGAACCAATTTACAAGGCAAGGGTAAGCAGATTCGCTCAAACCCAATACGCCACAGTAAAACGCAAAGCGCGAGCAAATTTCGCTCAGTGTCGATCACGGTAAGACGAACAGTCGGCCGATTACGAGCAAGAGCTGGCGCAAAAGAGAGAAATCAAATTTCTAGAGAGCAATTCATTAGATGCCTCGGCTTGTAGAAGGAGAGGCGGCGACGATGAAATCATAGTCCAACTAGGAGAGGTGTCCGTGGCGATGGCAATGACACCGTCGGTGTGAGGGCGGCCGGTACTCGGCCGACTCTCTAGGCCGTGGAATAGTACACAGCTGTGGACTGATCGTCTGAACGTTGTGATTGCTGTTCTCTCACACTCCGCCTATTGCTAACCCGTTTTCCTCAGTACTTTTTGAATTCTCATGCACGAAAAATTAGGTGGCTCTTTTTCTCTTGGCTCTCGCTTAATTGTTTATTCTTTTCTTTGGCTGCGGAATTTATTAACCGCTACACATGCCGCTTTCTCAGCCAAAATTTTTTGTTGTTTTTCTCTCTCTCTTTCTCTCTCTCTCTTTTACTCTTCTAGCTTTCGCTCTCTTCTTCGAAGCGCTGTCCTATCTACCACAACTCTCCTCTCCAGGCCCTATAATGACACAAGCATGTATACTCTGCTGACAGAGCCATACTCGGTCACTGCGTTCGCGCGCAGAGAGTGCCGCGCATACGGCAAACAAACACGCTGTAACCCTGTTAAAATATTGAAAATTAAATTAGAGTAACAAAAAAAATATTTAATCTAGGAAAATCTCTTTCACCACGGATCCGTTCGAGGGAAATTATAAGTTAACCCGTTTCTGTCTCTCTCTATTTCGCTGCTATTAGTGCTTGCAATTTTGGTGACACAATATAAATATTTTTCACTGCACTAATCCTTTACGATTGCGCTTCCATCTTTCAATTCCTCTGTACATGTGGCGACGTAGCCTATCCTTTAACGCCGACTCTCGATATAACTTCCGCTCACCATTATAATTTATAAATCACGCACACGAGTGCAACTTCGGTTACATCGTCTGCTCCAACGTACTCAACACGATCTTTGAGTACAGCGCTTGCTAATTTTCAGGAAAAATGGAAACGACTACAAATAAATCCATAAATAAACTAAAACGATGCATTTTACTGACGAGAACAGAATAATTCGTACCAGAATCAACTGTCATCGAGTTCAGGTGAGCAATGTTATCGAAGTGAAAGTTAGAAATAGTCAACATGGATTAACAGAATTATATAGTGATGTTTTTAAGAAAAAATAAATGTTTAACGCGGAATAATACTGATTTCAAACTTGTGAACGAATACTTGCAAAATCAGATGCAAAATGTGGTAGTCAACTCTCCGAGTTTGAGATTGCAGAGATAACGTTATTCGCTAAGCTTGGTATTAAGGAGATTACCGATAGCGAACGCTAGGAATTAGAGCTGCTTGTGCGCGAACTTCTCCCAGAAACAGCCTGTGATAAGCTAGGCTGCACAGACTGGATTCAACACGACATCAACGTCTGTGAAGCGCGCCTTGTAAAACAAATACTATCCAATCTTGCATAAAGTAAAACTAGAAATACATGAGTACGTGCCGATTGTAGTCCTTTAAATGTTGATTGACAAAATAGTCTCTCCTGAAATAGAGTCTTTTCTTTTTGCATATTTGTACGACTTGATTATTGTAACGAGGTTTTTTGTAGACCACGTCTAGTGGCTCAAGTTCGTTCTTATGCGAGTCAACGAAGCAGACGTGACCGCCTTAAGTCGCGCATTCGAATATCAGAAGTGCGCTATTTAGGCGTGTTGGTTAACCACGACGGAATCCAACCGAATCCGGATAAGATGAGGCCAATACTCGAGTATCTGGTGCCAAGAAACTTTAAACAGCTACGTATGTTTTTAGGTATG